AAGATGAGATGTGAGGAATGTTATTTAACCTTTGAACACAAAGGAGATTCCTACCATGGCTTTTTCTAATATTTTTTCTTTCTTTCTAATTAACATCAAATTTAAGATGACAACATGAAGGATAATATAGATGCAATTTTAAAATTTCCTTTCAAGGTCGCAAACCTTTCATAAAAAAGAGTATTTTTGCGCAATTTTTAAATGAAAAAATAATATATAAAAGACTTTTTAAACATGATCTCTATTTAAAAATCTTCTTCTATCATACTGTATCTAACAGATATGATTCAGATACATTAATTAATACTGATAAAGAAGGATTTTCAATGATATTATGTGTTTATAAAGTGTTAAATAGAGAATTGTCTACAGTTCATCAAAACGTTTGAAAATTTGTACGATAACACTTGAAGATAAGTTCAAAGACCTTTTCATGCTTTCTGATAAGATTTCCACAAAGAACTAAAAATTTGGTGTCGAGCATAACTTTCCATGAACTTGCGAACGGCATAACTCATTTCACAACAAAAAAAAATCGTATGCAAACTTGATCGATGGTCTCATAAATCCTCTCTTAAAAAAGCTGTTAGTGCAATCCTTGCGAGATTAAGCCCTCCCCCACCCTAAAATTTACTTTTGTCTTGGATCACCCAATCTTGTTGAAACTTCCAGAGGAGGTGTATTCTGTGCCGGGTATCTCACAGTAAAAATTTCAGCTCGATACATTGAGTCTAGGAAGAGTTAGCTTAAGATTATAGGGGTATCCGTGTTTTCCAAATTTCTCTGCTATTTCAAACGCTAGAAAAGTCGGGTTGGTTTTAAAATGTAGCCTGAATTCGATGCTACAACTTAACAGGATATGATTTTTCCTTGTTTTGGAGTTTTATTTTTTCGTTTAAATTTGTCTTATAAGAGATGACAAAAATACGTTCTACTCTTGTCATCTCTTATAAGAGGAGGTTAAACAAAAAAATAAAACTTCAACACAAAGAAAAATCGGATCCTGTTAAGTTGTAGCGCCGGACCCGACCTACGTTTTAAAACCAGCCCGACTTTTCTAGCGTTTGAAATGGCAGAGAAATTTAGAAAATACGGATGCACCCATAATCTTAAGCTAACTCTTCGTAGACTCAATGTATCGAGCTGGAATTTTTATTGTGAGATACCCAGCACAGGATACACCTCCTCTGAAAACTTCATTAAGGTTGGATGATCCAAAACTAAAAACAGCAATAGAGTGGAGAGGGGAACTTTAGGGTGGAGGGGAGGACCTTAAAATGTGAAACGCAATGGAACTCCTTATTTTGTAAATAAGAGGATTCAGAAACATATGTATCAATTTTTAAATTACTACATACTTCTAATGTATGTCGGTAACGGACGGTGCTGATCATAATATGTGTTAGGGTGTGGGTGTGGGTGTGACCGAAGAAAAGAACAACACTCACACTCACTCACACCCATACCCTTGCTTCGTCCAGATAGTCTATCACTGACCGAGCTGTTTGTTTGTTACTTCATTCATCTCATTGTCAGCACATGTTTCTGTTCCTTATTCCTGCGGACTATCCATCTAACATTTCTTTCGTTTGGGATAATTCTGACAAAACGATTCATTGATCAATTTCTGAAAAAAAACATGCTCTTGGAAGTTCGACTTTGTTTGATTTCAATGAATGAGAAAACAAAATTAAAGAGTGGGTCGAGTTTATCAATGATTGGATACTGTGATAGCTGATAAGAAGTGAGTTAATCAGTGATTGTGACATTAAGACGAAATGTATTCGTTTTTCTCATGATGCATTGTTCCCTTTTATCGACAGTACGATAAGCATTGCACAAGAGATATTTCGACAGTCTGGTCACAATATTGCAACATAAATAATGACTGTATCAGTAGTCATATATTCATATATTTGGATAACCTACAGAACATGGAAGAAACGGCAGAGATTTTAGTTCTGAAACCTCATGAGATCATAAAAGCTTTGAAAGTCGATTGAAATCTCTTGAAATTTTGAAAACTAAGGTGTGGGTGTGAGTCTGAATAGAGAAGAGAAACACCCACATCTATATCCACATCCAGCCACCCTCTTAACTATATTCAAAATTCAACTATAAGACTTAAAATTAAAAAAGAAGATATATTCCTTCTATATTACTAAACTTGTGTACTTGAATCCAGTTGGCCTACTCACTAATAAAGGATATAGGTGTTTGTAGAATTATCTGAACATCGAAGAATGAAAAAAAAAAAATAATTTCATTAACATGAATGTTGTTGAAAAGATACTAGCAATGGTGAAATTTCATAATCTAGCTAAAAATAAAATGTCTGTCTACTTTTCTTTATTTAGTACTAGTTTTTATCTTTAATTAAATGATAAAAATGTATATCTCACAGTTTGTTTTAGGAAAGCATAAATGTTTATCTAAACATTTTCACTAGATTTAGTAAAACGAAATGAAATTCTAGTAGGATTGATGTTGAAAAGATGAATCTGAACATGTTTATGTTCATTTGGAATATTGGTTTAATCAAGAGATTTTTCTTATATCAATATGATGTTATAAAAAAACTCTTTCGTTCATTAAGAAATTAGAAGAAAAAGAAATGTTTTTCTCAGCGATGCAACTACATTTTACAATATTAAACGTCTTTCTACGAGATCCATAATGCAAAAAGCTTCTACTCTTATCAAATTGAAAAAAGTAATACCTAGAAATAGTTTATTACGTCAATGGTTTCCTGATATTTTAATGATAATAAGGTAATGTTTGCTCATTTCGGATGGTTGACATCCAAGAGAAAAAAAAAAGAAGAAAACCTATGTTTTTAATCACACAAAGTAGCTTGAGTGAGCTCTTATTCATTAAACTACATTTGTCGGGAAAAATTCTCCAAAGGTAAACATATTTATATCGAATAAAAACATGTGTTTTCTAGTTATATTCAAGTTTTGAAACCGATCTCATATGGAATAAAAGTAAAATGATTTTAACACACAGTTTCGTCGAATTTTTCTCTGTAATGAACATTTCGAACATGCTATTTGAATTACTATGCTTTTGTTGTTTAACTAGAAACAATCATTGACAATAAATAAAGCAATATTATGAGATGATATTTATTAAGAAATCTTTCATAAAGACATAAATATTTATGTTATTCTTCTACTCTATTTTTAACATCATCTTTTTGTTAAAAAAATTACAATATTAGATCTCGTTTTAAGGAAATATAGTTTGATCGTATGTTCAAGTGACTCTTTTTCTCCGAGAACGTAATATATTTCAAACAGGTTATTTTATAATTTACCTTTTACTAAATGATCCTTGTTCACAATGATCATATAATAATTTTCTTAATTACATAGATAATTAATCCATTAAGGTAGAACTATCTTACGAGGGATGGTCACCAATTGTTCAATCACTTTAAGTCGGAACTATGTGCATCATGTAGGTCCTAATAAGCTATGAATATCCTGAAAAGAGTTCGGACCACTACCTTATTATTGTCGAGATACTGCACTTTTGTGGTATTTTTAATTAAGCACGATGCTGTGGTTCTCCTCAAGAACCAGAAAAACTGAGTTTCGAGTTTTGACTTGAAACTTTGCACAGAAACAGGCCTCATTGAGAGTAGTTTATTGTGAAAGTTTCAGATCTTTTGGTTGTTCCTATCCTAAGATACAGCTAAAAAGGGGTGTTTTTACACTGCTCATATACCCTCGACAGGTTTCGATGTTCGTATTTCAGAATAGAAACAAACAAAAGATCTGAAACTTTCACAATAAGCTATTCTCGTTGAGGTCTGTTTCTGTGCCAAATTTCAAGTCGAAATTCAAAACTCAGTTTTGCTGTTGCTCCTGAAGGGGATCATGACATTCTGCTTAACGATATTGTAAAAATGCAGTATCTCGACAGTAATAAGCTAGCGAATCGAACTCTCTTCCAGGTATTCATAGCTCATTAGGACCTACATGATGCACATAGTTTCGACTCAAAAGTGATTGAACAGTTGGTGACCTTCCCTCGTGAGCATCAAGACAATTATGCCTAATAAACGTGTTTCTCGTTTATTATGTATACCATATTTTATTTTTCTACATTCTTTTCTCTTTGCTGTTTCTCATAAAAACAAATAATCATATAAGCACTAAAGATTATAACAAGAATAGAAGTATAAAGATTGGGCGTGGATGTGGGTGCAGGTGTGGGTGTCTTTTTCTGCCACTGATATTCACACCCGCAGTCACACCCACCCACACCTACACCCTTTAAAGGGCATTTTTTTGACAAATCAAACAATCGAAATTTACTGAGTTTTTTTCTATCTGTAAACTATATGGAAAGGAATTTAAACTATTTTTTATTCAAAAACATATGGGTTGAGGTGTGAGCTGTAGATATGAGTACAGTCGATACTTCAGAATTACAGTCACACCTACAACCATACCATGCAAATGAATTAATTAATGATGATCGCATGCTCGTCGAAGCTTCTTGTTATTACAATAGTCGTAATTCAAAACTACTCTCTCTAGACTTTACTTCAGATTGTAATATCATTTTTTTGAAAAAATTAAAAACATAAGATGATTCTACTACAACAAATGCGACGTGCTCGCACATTTATTGTCACACTTAATTTATTTAAAACTCATTCTTTTGATCATTTGATGGAAAACGAAAAGTTATGGTCGACAAGAATTTATATTGTTTTACTTTATTCGGTAATATTATCTCTCGTCATTTATACTTCAATGGATACGGTAAATGAAATAGTAACTGTTCAGATGCCGACTCTAACGGACTACGAACGTTTGTCCATTGAACATTCCAATTCACTTTTATGCCCATGCTCTCGTCTTAGTATACCGTATGGACTATTTATTAAATTTGAAACTCAGTTTCATCCGATCTGTAACAGTGAACTAGTCTCAAAGTCATGGATTGATGGTTTGTTCAATAAAAACGCCAGTTATTATCTTCCTATGGATATTCGAAGTTCATTCAGCGCTCAATTACAACTTATTGGTTTACTGTGTGATTTCTCAAATATTACCTTGGTCAATAGTCTTAACGAGATGTCAAACACTCAATTAATTACTCGAGAAGTCATCTCGTCTATTATTCTTCAAACTCAAGTCGATGATTTAGTTGATAATTTTCGAATTCAAATTTCAACGACACTCGATCGTACTTTGAAACTTATTCGTGAGACATCAGTTGGCAACCTACTCGTATCGGGGTGGAAAACCGATGCTTCTGCAATTTTATTCGCTGCAAATGCTGCTGGTGATCTATGGGCTGTTATTGAAATGAATATTCTTCCTCAATCTGCCGATGGATTACCTTGCTATTGCTCAACTACATTTCAGTGTCGAAGTCGAGCGGCCATCTATCAAGAGACAGATCCTGGTAATACGGCTGGAGATTATGCGACTTCATTTAATATCTCGATGATTATTGACTCATTTGAAGGGTTCGTGAGCAGTTGTGTTCCACTTGAATCCCTTCTCAGCTCTACCCTCGAGTGTTTTTTCAAACAGTCTTGTCTTGATAAGTTTATTCGTCATTTTCCTCTCAAGAAAATACTTGCACTTGACTCGAACTCATCGTCATGGTCATTAAACACAAGTATTGAGAAGCTCATTCAGAACTTATTTATTGATCGCCAAATGGTTTCAGTTATTTATAGTACATTTTTTGCTGCCTGTGAGCCTCTTTACTGCACGTATACTTTGAAGACACGAAAGACAATGCTTCAAGTTATCATCAATCTCTTTTGCCTATATGGAGGCCTTGTAACCATTTTTCGTTTTTTCGTACCAAAAATTGTTTATTACATTATGAGAAGAAAACAGCCTCGGCCATCGACGACAACAGAACAAAGTAATTCAAAGAGAAAGATTCTTACTCTTCTTTTTCTTCATGTGATCTCTATGTTCTAGGCTTACTTTGGCGAGATCGGCTCAAAAAGCTACCATGGGCGTTCTTGAAACATATCACGTCTCTGAACTTGTTTTACCATCCCACTGAGAGTGAACGTCGAATTCGCATAGGTCGCTACTTCACATGGTTATACCTTGCCTCGTTCTGTGGGAGTATAATCGTTATGATGTTATACATCGGAGTCTCCGTACAAACACATACTAAAACTGTGTATAATCCTTCTCTAATGCAATATGAAAATATCTATGCACATTATCCATATTTACTTTCATGCCCTTGCTCTCGTTTAACTATTGATTACAACCTTTTCATACACATTGAACCAATTTTTCATCAAGTATGTTCAAGTGAATTGATCTCACTCGCATGGCTCCGATTGCTCGGAGAATTATTACAGAATATATTTTATTTGTATTACACAGACTTTCGCATTACTGCCGTCAGCCTATTTCAGTTGCTTGCTACATTCTGTCAGCTTGCAAATAGAACAGTTTTCGATGCAATAACTTTGTTTAATAGTACCCAATTTATAAGTGCACAGTCTATACCATCTATAATATTGTTACCACGAGCGCAATCTCTTATAAACGCATTTACGCATCGAGTAACAGACACATTTGGTAGACAACTTCGACTTCTGCAGGCTATAACACAAGGCAATCAACTACTTTCTAGCACTCTCAATAATTTCTTTTTGAATGTGACTGACAGTAAGCAAGTTGATATCATTCCGACATACGTCGTTACTGCTAATCAGACACTATGTTGGTGTGCGATCGATAGTCATTGTACCGAACCTATCGGAATTTTCAATTATGATCCTAATGTGCTAGTTCAGAATGCACTTTTTTATATTCCTGGTCTCGTATTTGGATGCTTTCCGCTCGATTCGCTGCTATTCTCTTCACTGGAATGCTTGTATAATGAGACATGTTTAAATCAAATACTTACATACTTACCAAATGCAAACATAAGCGTACTGAATTCAACAGAACCTACTCGTTTTAATTTCACTTCAGCAGTAGATGTTTTAGTAGAAAATCTGTTTGTGGAAAACTGGCATTCCAATATATCTTATTCTTCATACTACTTTGCATGTGCACCTTCAACATGCACATATTCCTATATGCACCGGCCTAGTTTGTTCTACATTATCATAACACTTTTTAGCCTGATTGGTGGGTTGAATATAACATTTCGAATTTTTATTGCATTATTAATTCCTGTGGTAATGTTACCAGTAAATCGTGTAACATCAGTCGAAAGTGGCACGGTTCCTATTGGTAGACGTCGACGACTTCGTTATTGGTTCACTATCGTCAGAAACAAAATTACAACATTCAATCTATTTCCGGATCGTGTTGACGACGATGAAAATCGCATACGTGAACAGCGTTATGCCAGTCGGTTATATCTCGTTCTACTTTGGATTAGTGTTCTTGTCTTAATCATTATCACATCACTATCTCCCCAATACAATACACGTACAATTGAATTTCCAACAATCACTATTTATAAAGAACTTCAAAGTCGTTTTCCGGATACACTGACGTGTCCATGCTCACAAGTGAGCATTTCATACGGACGATTCATTAAATTGTATCCATCATTTCATCAACTCTGCTCAAGTGCATTCATTTCAAAACAATGGATTGCTATGGTTTTTCCTCTGTCTAAGTAAGCATAATGCATTAGAATAATCTAAAAATTTTAGTGAGGATTTGGGTATGGCTGATGTAATGAATGGAAAAAATTTTTATAACCACATAATCACTTATTCTCACGCATCCACACCCATAGCCTTGTTTTAATTCTAATAAAAGCATAGCAGATAAAATTGAGACTCATAGATTTAATGCGATTTGGATCAATACAATAACTTTTTTTAAAATCCTGAATTTACTCATAACAAATCAATCAATGAAAGACGCTTGATCCTTTCATACGATCCACTATTGTAAGTCTTAAGACTAATGCTTGAGAAGAGAATGTTTTTTTCTTAAGAGATAAAGTCGTAGTACATATAAATTTTACTTTTGCTTCGCTATTAATAGTCTTCAAGAAGAATGTATAGGATACTGTAACAAACGGCTTTCATAGAACTAGATTGAATTTAATATCTTTAGCATACTATCTTCGGTAATGACCTGAGAAAAAAAAGCTTTGAATTGCCTATAGCGACGAAATAGAATGCATTCAGTAAAATATTCGTAGAGGAAAATAGTACTCTTTTCGGTTGGACCTCAGAATAGATTCTCGCATGAACTCTTATATAAATAACTGACATTTCTTCTCGACATTTGGCCATAAAATTTCGTGTTTTGGTAATGTATGAAAAGCAAAAAAACCTATCCTTTGTGTAGTTAATATTTACACATTGTTTTACCATGGCACATATAGAATTAACACATAAAAGTGAGACGTAGTCTCAACTATTACATGTCCTATTGTGTAGGTTAATCTAGGCAAGTCTAAGATTAGACTGAAATTTTTAATATAGTTCCAAGTGTGAACTAGTTTATTTCAGAATGTAAGAGTAGCTTCCGACATATATATTCGCAATGTTTCCATCGTTGCTCAAATTGTAATTTCATGAGAATCGAAATCAAAATCAAAAATTTTTCTGATTGTTCTGAGCATGTTCGTTTAAAGTTTAATCTTACACGTTTATATTCTAGCATGAAAATTTACGAAGATTTTCGCGTTCAAGCGACTGGCCAATTTCAATTGCTTCAAAGTTTTTGTGAATTAGCAGAACAAACTGTGGTTAGAGCACTGCAAGACTTTGCTACAAGTGAATTTATAACTGCTAATGTGATATCTGCAACTATCTTTGATGCACAAATGCGTTCAACAATAAATACTTTTCAGCTTGAGACACCAAGCGCATTTATTAGTACATTAGAACTTATTCGACGTACGACACATGGTAATGCCTTTATGACAGTGTACGCAAGTAATTGGGAGTAAGTGATATCACAGTTTCCTTATATATATATCTGATTTCAAATTTCACATAGCTACATTGTCAACAAGGCAGAACCGGATGCAACTGTCTTCACTTATCCAATTTCTTATGATAATTGTTCATGCGCCATGTCATATAAATGTTCTTCGTCGGCTTTTATTTATTCGTGGAATAAAACATTTATGTATGAAGTTCCTGGCTTTCGCATGGACTGCTTTCCACTCGAGGCTCTTCTTCAATCGACACTTGAATGTATATATTCCCAAATGTGTGTGGATCTAGTAGCCCAATTGCTTCGACCAAGAACAGTGATTCACGTAACTGCTTTAGAAACGAACAGTAGTAGTCGATTTTCACGAAACACAACTGTGGAAATGATCCTTCAACAACTGTTCGTTGAAGAGTGGTCCACAAACATTTCTTACGAAGCTTTTTTTTCTGCATGTGAACCATTATCGTGCACATATATTTACACGACTTCACTCAATGTCATATATGTAGCAACGACATTTTTCAGTCTCTATGGTGGACTTACTGTAACCTTAAGAACTTTAGCCCCATTGATTCTCAAAATTGTCACGACGATAAGACGCTACTTTTTCCGAAGCAATCAATGAATCTGTAACAATCAAGATTGAAACAGACAATTTGATAAATGATAAAAACCAAGAAGCATTTCACTTGAAAAGCAATAGACTAAATCAAATAAAACTACATTTTATTCAATATTCTAATTCTAGTAGTGTCACGCATCCAAGACTTTGGAGAACTGCATATCTAAGGACGATCATACTTATCCAATGTGGATGTGGAGATTAGTCAATTCAATAACAGTACCAGCGTCAATATTCACTCCACACCAGCACCCACGACAAATAATCAGTTTAACAACTTTTTAAAGTTATGTTTCTAATCGACCATCTTGTGAGGAAAATCTCAAACGAGATATATCTAGATATCGGTTATGGGTGTGAATGTGGGTGTGGGATGTGAATGTGTGAATGTGGGTCATGTTTTTTGTTTCATTCGGGTGCGTCCCTTTTCGTCCTCGCTCTTCCGAACATCCGGACAAATAACCGGATGTTCGGAATGAAAACCGTGCAGGTGTTCGGAACGAAAAATACCCGATATTCGGAACAAAAAATACGCGATGTTCGGAACATAAAATGACGGCTGCTTGGAGCGAAAAGTGACGAATGTACGGAATGAATTTTGGTGTCTGTTTCTAACATAGAAAAGGATTCATTCATATAGTATCTTTTAAGTCCTTGAATGTAGCGACCTCTTGTATATTCAGTTAGAGTTTTTTAAAGTAGTGTAGAGTTCAGTAGTGAACGA